ATCGGCATCGCTAGAGCTCGATCGTCTCGCGCAAATTACCCAGAAGCCTCGAATCACCTTAACCGGTAAACGAGACGCTAGAGATCCTGGCCGCGCGCGCGTTCATCAGAAAACGCAGTCGGTGTTGATTTATTCTGAAACGCGAGTTGATCACCGTCCACGCACACGAGACACCTTCGCAAATTACGGAGGATCCCTTAATGATTCTCGGTGCACGCTCGGGGACGCTCGCAATCTCCCCTGATGACAGAAAGGTAGAACAGAAAAGAATGTTAATCTCCTATTCTCTACAGCAGCGTCCCGATTTTTTGCCCCGCTCCCAGCTCGCCCCTTCTGGCCTTATTTTTCGTGATTTATGACGCTTGGAAACGCGGGTCCGACTTTTTCTAGGCCGGTCAGCCTCTGGAACGGTCCAAAGGTCCCGGCTAATTTCGTAATACACCGATTCGTGGCCGCTGCTCGAAATTCATTAACGTCCGATAACCGATTGAGATATCGCCGCCAACGTTTTCCCTCGTTAACGATCTCGCCCTGTCGACCCGTGGCCCGATCGTTTTTCTTCAACGATAATCCTGCTTATTGAATTTCTCCGCGTCTCTCACCCCTTCCCCCCACCCCTGTCTTATTTATGGGACATCCTGTCCCCGAAATTTAGTGATCACTGACGGATATCGTTTCGGGTTACCGCGTGCGATCGCGACGCGTTACGAGTTATATGAATTCTTTTTCTTCGGATTCGATATTCTCTTCTTCGGCAAGTTGGTAAAATAGCTGCGAGAATACGACGATAACTTTTAAAATTTTGTAAGATGCGTCGATTGTCTCGTTACGCGTTATCGTCGCGTCCAATTTGATAGTTGCGATAACGGTTTAACCGACGGGGGACACCAACCGGGGTACCGTAAGGGTTTGTTCGTTAGTTTTCGATGATTTAGGGGGTTGAAGAGTTGTTGGAAGAAAGAGGGTGTCGCCATCTGATCGAACAACGGCGAACGCTATCGAGAGGACGACCGACGAAGGATATCTTTCGAAATACGTACCGACGTCGGTAAAATAGGTTTCTCCGTTCTGTTCACAACGTTGACTTTGGAAAACGCGAAAGGCGATCCGGGTATCCTCGGTAGATAAGTCGAGGAACGACCGACAACGTGTAACTGACGATTTCAACTGGTAAGTTACTGCTCGAGCAAAGCGTACTCGCAGAATAACGAAATGTAAACGTATGTAAAAACAACTATCATATACGTACGTACAAAACCTTCTGGAAACTTAAAAAATAAAATTGACTAACGCGACCAATCCCCGCTTAACATCCGATATAATTCGCATTATATTTTTAACACTTTATTCGATGTAACCGACTTTAAACCAATTTTAACCAAATCGATCTTGGCAAATGCGAAAGATCTCTATCTGGACCGTATTATCCGGATAATCCCAAGTATCCGAAGCATTCAAACCACTTTAAGGGACCAATGAAAGTTGACGCTAAAAGGGATCGGAGTTTGTTGACACGAAGTTCCAGTAAGGTAATCCAGGGATCGGAGATATCCTCAAGTGGCACCATAGACACGCTTCCCTGTTTCTTTTTTCCTTACAGAAAGAAACAGTCAGAACGTGTCTTAATTTGACGTAAAGTTTATTAACGGCACTTTAACGTTCCGTCCTTCCACTTAAAAGTTTACAGATTTTTTCACGAAAGCAGAGACAAGATAGCGCTCTCGGTTCTATCCATCTTCCGCTAGGACGTAGCTTCGGAAAAACCTTCGTTAATTTATATCGGCTTGTGACAAATAAATTTACGCAAAAATTGTACAAATTTCGCGTAAAATATCCGCGTAGAAAAGACACGACGCTTTATTTTTCAGAGTAGAAATCGCACGATCCTTCGTTGGAAATTCTATTCGCTTGTAAATCACGTCGCATCGCTGTAAAGGAACAATGGCGTTAATATCGCTCCCGCGTGTCCGACGTCGAGAATACGGCGATCTCGCGTCGTGACGTTGACCAGAGCACGTGGATCGCTCTTGTCTTAGCATTTGAGTATCGAACAACAAATAGAAGACGTCGGCCGGCTATCCAATTACTCGGTTGTTCGCTACCGATGCCAGCAACATTCGTGGTTATAAATAAGCGACGCGTAACGCGTCTCGCCTCGACCGGCGATTAACCCACCGAATTATTACCCGCGTAATTAGTAATTAACGGGTTGTCCTTCGACCCTCGTAAAATTCCAATTACTTCGAAGAATTAATCGCGGCAAAAATCGACGCCAAGATCGATAAGATACGAAGGAAAGATCGTGACGAATTTAACGGAGTGTGAGTCGATCGATTCGTTGTAGGCTTGGAAAGAGCAGTTTCTAGGCTTAACGAGAGAAGGAAAAGGCGCGGAAAGAAGAGGGAAAAGAAAAGGCGCAGGAAGGAACGAGTGGCCAAGCCGCGTCGTCGAGGCGAAGTTTCTGGCAAACGTGGCTGCGTTTTCGGTTGCAACGCAGAAAATAAAAGGAGGGATGCGTCCGTCTAGACATCCAGATCCACGCAATTGTCTGGCCCACTCGTGAGAAAACTTCCTAGCCCGCCTAACTTCAAAAATGCGCTCTCCGGACTCTTCCGACACAATAGAGCGACTACACGTGACCCTCTCTCCTGACAAACGGTTGGCCTTTGCCTCCGTTTCCTCGATTTCTTAGCGTTTGTCAAACGGCGCTTCAAATTAATTAACAGACTTGGATTCGATGGATAAGCGAGAATTCATTTGGACGATTCTGGCTAGACAAATCGTCTCTGGCTCTGTACCTTGCGCTCGTTGAAATGTTTAATAAATAAAGATTATGGGGTACTACGAATATTAACTCACCAACTGAGAAAATCCAATACGAAGTTTGAAAGATTTAATATTACCGAATAAAATTGCTAATTAAAAGAACTGAATATTTGTCGCTTTCTAAACAGAGTTTTCTTCGTACTGTTATAAATTTGTCTTCTTTATACCAATCGAACATACCCAGAATGGTCGATTACTTTTTTTTTTTTTTTTTTTTTTGAAAAATGGAGTTGGAACAGTTGAGAATTAGAGAAAGGACCGATCCGATACGCATCTATGCACTCGGATTGTTGCAATGAAAAGAGGGACAGTTTTTCGGTTTCCCGCGAGATAGACCACGAATATATCGCGATCATTCTCGTTTTTCGTTCCGATAGCTTCGATATCAAACGCAATTCTTGACAGGTGAACTACAAGACGGACGAAGAGGAAGAAACCTTCCGATAATTCTCATCGCCGAACGATCACCGTGTCGCGGTAATTATACGTAATTTTTCACGGTCGTTGGTGCAGGACGTACGGACGATAAAAGCACTTCTTCCGGTGTGAAATCGACCTGTCGCGCTTGTCTATCGGTGGTGTCGTCTCATTGCTGGTCACGTAAGGGAGGGATAAGGAAGAGAAAGAGCAGATCCTGAAAACACGGGCCCTCATGGGCGGCATCCGACCCCCCACGATCCAGGAGGCTAGACGATACGGCAACGTGCGCTACGGGATTTTTCTATAAACCGTACACGGATAGTTGGCCATCGTGGAGGCCGCATGCGGCTATTTAGACGAGAGGCGACGGCACAAAGGACCCTTTTGTACGGGCCAACACGGCCAGCCCGTGTTGCAACTGGACACCACATTGCAGCGGAGAAGAGAGCTTCTCGATTGCAAAGCCTCGTTACGCGAGCACGATTCCGCGCGAGAAAGGAACCACTTGTCCTCTCGTGGCCGCGGAAATTGTTTCCCGTTTTCCGGTACAGTCGCTAATTACACGCCAGACAAATTCTCGTCGATAAACACCGGAAGATCAAAGGCTGGAGACGACGAGTTCGAGGCATCGTATTTCATCGTTGATCCGTATCGTATATTTTACACAGTACGAAGACCAGCGATGACATTTACCGCGTAAGAGACACGCAAAGTAAGAAGAATTCTCGCAATACGAAGCAACGTGACATTATTAAATAGTAAAAGTAACTTAGAAGCTACGAAGAAAGAACGTCACTGAGCCTGCTATTTACTCGAATAGACGCGATCGTTCAATTTTCCATAGCGATCTTTCGATTCTGCCATAAACGAACTACAAATGAACGCATTACGAATAACATTATGAATAACGACTCTATACTCTGCCGTCGATCCAACGTCAATTTCATCGGATCGAACAAGACTTAATTCATCCGAATCTGCACATACACGTTATAAGTACATACACCTAACCGATCAACTCGTATCGGATTTCGTTCAGTTTCAATTCCCGTAAAGTTGCCCGTTGTTCGCCCAACTTCTTTTTCGCAGTTTAGCGATATATTCAAATATCGTACATTGAAACATATATCGAAATATCACGTGGAGAGATCTTAGAGAGTTAGAAACCGACAGGGCAAACGAAGCGGGTGCATTTAAGGTGGTGGCGTCGAGTAGGCAAAGATCGGAGAGCGTAGTAGAAAAAAATGGCCGAGATTTTCCAGATCTTTCGGGGGAAAAAGTGCACGGTCTGTGGAGAATTGTTTAAAAATCGAGCGACTTTGGGGCGCGGTGGCTTCACACGACGCAAGCTCTCCAGACGCCGGCGCCGCTTTCCCACAATTAAGAAGGCGCCTCGGTATCTCTTGGCGCCTACCATGCATCACACGGCCACACATTCATGCACGCACGCACGCACGCACGCACGCGCCGCCTCCGTGTAATTCCGCGTACTTTCCACGCGTAGAATAATAAACAGCCGTCTCGGTTGCCAAGGGTTGTCGGTGGTTGCTATTCGTTCGCGAATTAACAACGAATTCCGGACCCTCTTAAACGAGACACCATTGATATTCAATAGCACTTTCGCAAGAGTTGTAAGCGCACGGTGTTCGGCAACGAACGTTTCTCGATCGACGATTTTTTCCAGCAGTGTCAAATTGCGAGTTTACTTGACACGACGTTACCCGTTAGTTTTAAGCGTTAGATTCAACTACAATCGAACGTACTATAAACTCTTGTAATCTGAGTTACGGTACCACGCCAGAATAATTTACCTATAATTCTCAACGAGAATCGATTGTAAAATTCTCCCAAATAAAAAAAAAAAGAAAATTGCTCGTTCGAATTTTTTAATGGCAAAGAACGGATCGTAGAGAATCTTGCGGTTTCTCGATGAGAAGAAAAATTCGAAACATAACGCGTAGAGTAATTAATTTCTCAATCGGCGATTTTGTTGAAAACGGAGGTATTGCGAATATAAATTGTTAATTGGCAAAGCGTGATCGGTGACTGTTTTTCGTTTGCGAATCAGCGACGAGTGCCGCAACTCCGTAACGAGACAGCGTCCAAACGAAAGATCTACTTTTTGAAGAATTTTAAACGCAAACTTCTCGGAATTTTTGTCGAGAATACCGTCGATGATCCCTGGGATATTAGACGATAGGAACGAAGAGTACGAATACGTTTTACGTCAAATCAAGCGCGAGAGGTTTGCAAGGAAAAAATATACAAGACTGGATGGTGTGCTGTTTCGAGAATTACACAAAGGACCAGGTAGACCGATCGAGGCTTAAACAGGCTAATTTTTCGAATTCCAAATCTTTAGGACCTAAAGCGTCAAGGGTTCGGTGTGTTCTGAAAGACGCATCTGGTGTATGTTACTTTCGACTCGTCGATGTCGCGGACTCGGGGATGAACCACGAGGATCTCGTCCTGCCGTCGCATCGGCCAAGAAAAATGAATTGTTTTGTTTTCATTTCCAAGCCAGTTCCAAACCCGCTCCAAGCTCGTTCCAAGCCCACCAGCGATCCCGTCACGAAATCGATACCCCGCGATCGCTATAACTTGTCACGTCTCTGACACCCCTGATGAGTTTCGTTCCTTTAAAAATTTAACAGATATCGTAGCTGCAGAAGAAGAAGAAGAAGAAACAAGAAGAAGAAGAAGAAGAAGAAGAAGGAGGAGGAGGAGAAGCAGAAAAATACAAGCAGAAACTTTCGAGGATGGATAAAAATTTGTGATTCGATCCAAACGTCTTTCAAACACGCGATTAATTACGAATAAATTTCTGATTTATGCGGCACTTTTGGTCGATCGATTCGAGTGGCGGGGTAGGGGGACCACTGGTGAGACGGTGGAAGGCGGTAATCACGCGAATCGAGATTTAATCGCCAGTTTTAGAAGCTTCGTTCACGGTATGTCTGGATTGGTTCGATCGTTGGAGCATAGGCGGGCCTTCGGTCTTCTCCTCCGCCCCAACGTTAGTCGTCGCGTTATGGCTGACCCACGGCAAAAACCGATTTGCCATCTCCTTGATCGACCCCGCACTTCCGATCCTCGTAATTATCATGCGACGCGAGGATGAGTCGAATTTTTTTCACTTAACCGAGCTCCGACCGATTCCGTGCTCCGATACTTTGCGTACGGACGGGGAAAACACGCTGCATGGAATTCGATGTTACCGCTCGTCATCGACGGTCGATAGCTCGTCGTACAAGATGTTTTTGTATAAACGTTTGCTAACAACACGAGCTCGCTAACCGTACTTAACCCCGAAACTGTATTTAGGAAGTCATAGACACCCGGGCTCCCAATGACATTCGAGAGTCTCGTAAAAAGGGACATAAAAAATGAAACGACCAACCACCGAAGCTCGCTCCTAAAGTCTCTCTTCCATGGAAACATTGCCTAAACAAGTAGGAAAAAGGGCTGGAAATATCAGAGACTACCGTATACGATCGATTAAAAGCACACCGAAACTCGCTAAAGTAAAGCGAGATGAACGGCAGGAGAGCGATTAACTCGACTTCATCCCCGAATTATGCAGTTATGAAAAAAATAAAAAAAAAAAAAAACAAGGAGGAAGGAATCCCGCTCGAATAGTTTCCCTTTCGTCGACTATCGCAAACTGGCTGCGAATTATTCATCGACCCGAAGACAAATTAAAATCTCCAATCGGAGGACGCGACCACCCCGTAGAACTGGTGTTTGCGCTGCTCTACGAGGCTCACAGACGTGGTGGGAGTGTGCTGGTAAAAATCAGCCGCGCTCACACGCACACCCACCTCCTGTTCCTGTGTGTGGACCACGGAGGAGAGACCAACACTTGACTCCCTCTGTCAGAGCAAGTCACATTGTGCGTCTGCCCTCCGGCCTGACCGTTCAACCGTGGCCATCATCCCCCGAGAAGGCGATCCGCGGGCGTTCAAGGTGGTGCTCGCGCGTGTCCACGGTTCCAACGAGTCGTCCGAAATCTCGACAGTTTCGTTCGACAGCCCTTGCCGGTAACCGTATCCTTTCGCGACGTTTCAAACGCGATTAACCCCGTACGACAGACGAGAAAGTTGGCTCGAGTTGTCATCGGAGATTACCGTTAGTTGAAGTGGACGACGGTTGAAGAGTCGGTGGTTGGAAGCTGGGGAATTATCGTTGTTCGAGCACGTCGTCCGAATGTCGTAAAACGTTTTTTAGCGAGTTTCATGGCTGAATACCGGGCTTCTTCTAAACGAAGATCGCGCGAGTTGTTCGAGTGGCACTGTTCTTTTCGAGGACAACGATGAAATCGTAGAATTTGTCGTCGACGAGCAACGACGAAACAGGATTTTCGTACGGATCGTGCGTGTGTTTGAAAAGTGAGTCTTCGCGCGATAAAAGCATCGGAAAGTGAAGTTCGTCGTTCGAGTATTCGCAAGAGTCGTCGACATTGCTCGAGAATGCGTTAGAATGTTGCCTTCCTCGGTCTCCGGAACCCCGTTCAGCGTCCGCGACATTCTCAGCGAGGATCAACAGCTTGGAATCATGGATTGTTACCCGTCTGTCCACCATCAACATCAGCTTCAACAACAACACGTGCCTCAGGAATATTACGGTTATAATATCGTGCCGGACAACAATTGGGACGTGGAGAAGTTCAAGGAACAATCGATGCCGACTTATCCTCACTATCCTGACTTGGGTCACGTTCATCAGTTGAATCAGATCGCTGCTCCGTACCAGGATCCACCGGTTACAGAGGACGGTGCGTAAGATCGGTGTATATCGTGGCCGATGCTTCGTCTTTGCTTCGCGATGCACCGACGTTTTATCATCCGTTCGATCCATTTTCTAGCCATACAGTATCGGCAATGTTTTACAGGTAACGTGGTTACATCGAGCAAGACGGAGCTGCGAAAGAGTCAGTCCGGCAAGAGGACAAAGAGGAAGCCGAGGGTGCTATTTTCCCAAGTAAGTTTCCCTATCGTAAGAAACGACGGTAACGATCACGGACGCAATTTTTAACGATAATTTTAACATAACGATTTAAGCATAATTTTGTCGATGTAACACTTCGAGTAATTAAATTTAGAAAGCAAGACTGTTTTCGTTGAAACATCCCCCTGCTAGACGCAGTTTCGTTCGTGCTCGCAGCCCTATTCGAATTCTGTTTAACCTCGACTGAAAACTACCACCGATTTCTTACAGAACCAAGTGTACGAGCTGGAACAGCGATTCAAGCAGCAACGATACCTAAGCGCCCCAGAAAGGGAACTACTGGCTCAGACTCTGAAACTCACCAGCACCCAGGTGAAGATCTGGTTTCAGAACCGACGGTACAAGAACAAACGCGCGAGGTTAGAGGACGCGGAGAAACTTCAAGCTCAGAACGCGAAGAACCAGTCTCTGAAGAAGATCCACGTGCCGGTATTGATCAGAGATGGTAAACCGAACATCCAGGAATCCTACAATCCTTCGTACTGGTCCAACATCAGGCCGGAGCTCGGCGTTTCGATGCAACCGGACTTTCGAATGAACGAAATTCGACCGAGCCCCGAATTCAGATCGACGAACGACATGAGGATGGACACGAATATCAGTCCCGAGTTTAAGACGGAAATCGGCGCCGATGTCGCCGGAAAATCGAGTTTGAACGGAGAGATACAAGCCACCAGACAACACGTTCTCGTTACCACGGATTTCCGAAATAATTTGTCGGCGGATCCTCGAGCTGCCGTGCACGATTGTCACAGGCAAATGAAAGGGAACGCGAGTGCCAACGAAGCGGCGCCATTTCCAGATTTGAAGAATATTTCCACGGAGAGTAAGATCATGGTGAGCGACGGAAGACCGATGATGGACGTCTCCAGCAGCGATTACGGATTCTCCAATTACTTGGGTCCGGCTAACTACCAGATGCAGTACGTCAATTACATGGAACAGGTGCCTATGGACCAGAATCTACAACGATTGTGGTAGGAGAAGATTTCGAGATTTCAATGTTCTACCGCTGCGTTCTCTCCGTTACGTATCGACCGTGTCGTTGAATCTTTGATCGAGCCGATATACAGTAAGTTTAGGTTCGTAGAAAAATCGAAGCAATTTTTCGAAAGGACACGGTTGAGCACGTGAAGAGATGGGAAAAGCTGTATTCCACGAAATTAGAAGATTTTGCGGTTCGAACGAGAGTGTTTTACGATTAGGGTTCCGCTATCGATTCGAGTGCGTCGCAGCCAAAGCTTAGATATTAGGAAATCGTTCGATATCGTAAGGGAATCGAGATATTTCGAGTATTATTTTTGTAACTAATAGTTTCGGCCTTCCGTCGCTTATATCGCTGATCTTTCAGACTTCCGAGTGTAAGTTATGTTCGTTAAAGTCGAGTTTCTGATACTTCGGTAGTCGAAAAGCGAGGTAAATAGAAAAGTAAAAAACAGAAAGTCGGACGATTTATCCGCGAGTCTCGAACGTTTTTTGCGAGAATGACGGTTGACAAAAAATAGAGAATCGCGTGACAACGTTACCAAACAGGTAGCCGAAGAGTAATCGCGACTGATGCATCTTTTAATCACCGCGATTGCCATAGCTTTAAGTTCGACATAGTTAGACTGTAAGGCCTACAGGCAGCTGTATTTCATTTTCTTCTTGTTTTCCCCCCCTGGTTCCCTTGTAGTTAGGTAAGATACCACTCTCCCCTTCGAAATAGTAACGCGCCGCTCGAGAAGCCCGAACGGAAATTGCTTCAAGTGGCTTTTGCGGAAACATCAGTTACTTCGTATTCCGCAGACCTCGCCTTTCTCGTAATTCTATTTCTCTTTTCTTTTTTCTTCTTGTCTTTCTCCTCTCGGTAATTCGGTTCTTTAATTCGTCGAATACATTTACAACCGGAGAAATCGCGACAACTTTACTTCGATTATCGCGCAACGATCGTTTCTTTCGGTGGAAAATCTGCGATACTACGCCACACTTTTGTACCAACGTTCACGATTGATTACGGGAACAAGGATACGAGAAAATAAATAAAACGAAAGAAACGACTAAATCCTGGAATCGTTTTACTTCACCTTAGCCACCGTTCCCAAAGTAAACCACTCCCTTTCTAAAAATATCGAAAACATCGAAAGCGTTCCTCTTGCCCTATTGAAAAATTCCGACATCGCGAGATCGATCGATCCTCGCAGAAGTTGTGCCAAATTTCAACGCGAATCTTTCTACGCGCGCGATTACAGCGTTTCGCCGCGAGAAACATCGTCTAGGTCGATAAAACAAAAATATGGCGAAATGGCATTTATAAATAGGTGAGTTCTGACAGCTTGAGCGAAGCCATGGGTTAGCTTTTAGGTTATCGCGCGAGCACGACGGGTCATCTGGCAGTCAAGTGCCTTCACATAGACGATTCATCGTCGGCGTAATCGTTGTTCATGGTGCTACCGCCGCCATAAAGGACCATGGGAACAAGCTGATAAAAATGTCGCTGCCGATGTTGCAGCGGGATCGCGTGGCGTTTCCCATATACGGTCTTTCCACCTTCCACGACTAGTCCGAGACCACCCTTCCGAAACAGAGAGTCGGCTCCGCCCCTGGCCGCACCTGCAAAGCACCTGCCCGCACTTGTTCCTCGAGATCGACTTCCTTTCGGTGGACGTGTTCCAGATACGCTTCGTCAGGCCTCCGCCTACGCGTTAATTTTCATTCGATAACCGACAAATCATACGACGAATAACATTGGGATATTTGCGAGAAATGTATTCGTTATCGCTCGTAATATTCAACGCGGTCGGTTTGATCCGTATAATACGTGGATTAAATATCCGCGAAAATATGAGAGATTCTAGAGAACGTTGCAAACGAAAGTTGGACGAAATAGTCAAAACAGAATGTTCGGACGGGCAGAGCTTGAAAATTCTTGGCAAGATCGAGCTCCGAAATGTCTTTCGTTGCGCGTTGCATATTTTCTCGCGGCTCTCGTATTTTTCGTACAAGACATCTTTCGGACACTCGTCTACTTTTAAAATTACGACGACTGCCTTCCACGTACACGCCCGTCTGTCTGTCTATATCAATCGGAAACTGCGTCGCGGTGGCGTTTGATTCAATTGATAAAAAATAAAAATATAGCAGAATCGAGCAATTTGCGAACCAAATGGAATTCCTTCCGCGTTCCCAGCCTGAATTCTGAAAGCCCCCATTAGGAGGAGATCGTGTGTATTCGCATAATCAATCACCGCACGTTAAACTTCGAAACCCGATCCTATTTGCCTACGAACGGATAGAAAGCATCGCAGTTCGGTGAATATCCACCGAACGCGAAAGGGAACACAAAATGTTGATGCTGTTCAAATAAAGACAGGAGTGCATATGCATAGAACGCGCGGCGAATCGTTTGCATTTATTTAGAGACGATCGCGTTTATCCTCGACTCATTAATCACGTCCTATCTATCGTATTTCTTTCCTTCTGCTAACTTCGATCGAGTATATTATTTCAACGAATATCGAACCGACGATTAAAAGAACGTGTAATTGCTTGGAGTAGAATTCTATTCGTAAACGAGTGGAATTCAGAGATCGTTCTGGTACCAAGTTGAAGTACTTCTGGATGGATAATGAAGTACGAACGCGCATTTTAACGATGCGAAATATGACGTCACTGACAGCTAATTATAGCGATGACGCTCGTAAATCGAATGGCACGGACAATTTTGTACTTTTTATCCTCACTTCGAAATATATTTTGTTACACCGACAATTTGTGTTAAAACGTCCAACAACGTTTCCGCGATTCTCTCTACGTTCCGTTGCATACATAATTCTTTGCGCAAATCGTTTGTAGATAATCTGTTATACCGATGAAGGATAAGCCGACTTTCCGTAACATAGATATCTGTATAATCGGTCGAAAGTACAGCAGGAACGCTCCAAGATCACGGACGAGATACAGACGAAACTTTATCATTGACTAAATATAGAATAGGCCTGACATTCGATGCTTTTTCGTGTTCCATATGTTCGCGTCTATCCTGCCTTTGGTCAACGGTCGTATCTCTATCCTCGGTCAATATCGGAGACGTTCGTCTTATCGACTGCGGTAAAAGCATTTCAAAGTTATTTCATCGGGTTCCCTTTCCAGCGCACTCTGTGTCGTTCATTCGAAAAGAACAACTTGATTTTTGTTAATATACAAATCGAATCAATTTATCACGAAACTACTCTGTTCAATTTCATTGGCTTTTAAAGTTCGACCGTTAAAGCGTCGTTCGATAGATTATTTGTTACATTTTCAATTTTGCTATTAATCCGAACGATCGACAAATAATTAATGGGCGTTCGTTCTTTAATCACCGGTCGTATTACGAAGGAAATTTCGAGTCATCGGAAATAGCCTCGCTGTCATTCGTCTTTGAAATGCTCATTAATGCTAGAATCGGCCGCTACAAACGGCCGAAAATAGTACCGATAAACTAGCCAATCCGCAAACTACCGGAACCATTAAAAGAACAGGAGTTTCTGCTGTCATCTCGCCGTGGCACGGCAATCGACTCGCCTAACAAGCAATATAACGTGTCCTGATTCTTGGATTTTGGTTCGGTTATCCAAATATTAGTACGTACATCTTCCACAAAAAGAACCTGCACGATCTTCCAGCGATAAACCAATAGGTCTAAATCGATCCGTCGATTAGAAAAGGCTCCAAGCACGATATAAATACCGCGATTAGGAGAAAGAACTGAAAAATCAACATTCCATCTCGCAAGAGAGATCTCTGTCTCGTCGAGCCTAGCGCGAACTTTTCGAAAGCTCTCGAAAAACAACCGCGGAACATTACGAAACAAAAAAGCGTCGAGTTTACGGCCAGAATCTCGGCAGAAAAGATTCATTGAGCAATTTCCTCGGCTTAAGGGGCGAGACGCAAGGGGTGGCGAGAAAACGCAGGACTCAAAGGTAAACGCAGAGAGGATGAAACGGGAGGAAGAAGTAAATGAGCGAGAGGCAGTGGCGGCAGCGTATACTAAGCACTAATATTACATCTCTGGACTGACAGACGTGCGGACTTTAAAACCCAAGACTAACAAACAGTTAGCAGTCATCCGGTCTTCTTGTTTTTATATTCTTATGCCCGCCCATAGAGCGCACGCATTGCTCCCTCTCTCTCTCTCTCTCTTTCTTTCTTTTTCCCTCTCTTCGTCTCCCTTTCAGCTCGCAGAGATCTTCGTTACTTTTCGTGTCGTCGAATGCCAGTTAAACGCCATCCACGAATTTCCTGTCTGATCTTCGAGGAACCAGCATCTATATTCTGCCCTTGGCGTTTCGCGTTTCGCGTTTCGCGTTTCTCCACCCTTCCGCAAACCATCCACATCTCAACTTCGGCGATCTAACTTCGTACTTTGGCAAACACGACCGGATCTCGTTCGGATCTTTACCGATCGAGACGTCTTTAGCGATCCGCGAGACGCTATTTATAAAAGGCGCGGTTACCGCGTGGGAAACAACGACTTCGGAGCGGTCACGATCGCAGCGATGAAAAGTGGCTGAAGGAGTTTCCACGGATCGGAGGTTGCTCGATCAGAGCGGGCAAGGCGAAAGGAAATATCCAAGTGGAACTCGTAAGAAGGCGAATCGCGGGGGCGAAGGTAACGGTGTTCGTACGGAGCGGGTAAGGAGGGGCTGGGGGAGGGGGAGAAGGAGGAGGTGGGAAGGGATGGCTGTTCTCGTTCGAGGGTAACTGAAATAAGGTATAATTTTCCGCGCCAATTAAGGTCTTTAAGAATTGCGACCAATTGAGCGGGAGGGTCAGGGCTTAGCTCTAGGGGAGAGATGTACCGACGAAGTCCCCCTATAATTTATTATTGATTAGATCGAATCGAGAAAAAGAGAACCGCGACCGTACGAAAGACCGTAGTCCGTCTTCGAGATCGCCGTCTCCGAGACGGCACGTTCTCCCGTCTATCTCCTCTCTTTGTGAGCCTGGAATGGCTAATAGGGAAATGGCGGACGTCGTTTTTCCGGTTCGATTACCCGTCACCTGCTAATTGCCGATCCCTGTGCGCCGATCGATCCCGCAGAAATACTTGTCACGAGGGTGCCACTTTTAAGAACGGGGATGAGCTCGTCGACTTTTCGGGCGACTTTTCGCACGCAATCGCTCGTTGTCCGCAATAACTCGTGATACACGAATCGCACTCGTGATCGCGATCTTCGTAGATCGATCGACACGTACGTAGCGGACGATCGCTTTCACCCTTTGATCGTGAATTAAAGAATAAAAGTCATCTACGCGTTCTTCGAAGGCTCTTTCTAATAACTTTTCAAAGGACAGATATCTCTGATATCTTTCGCTCGTGATAAGTAAGAGTACGATCCGTCCGAAAACGATTAGTCACGGATTTTTTTTTTTAATCGAAATGAAACGAACCAACGAGCAGAATTCCAAGAAATATCGCGGAAGGAACGTGGAATTATTTCCTCGTCGATATCTGGAACGCGCGAGGCCATCATCGGATCAAGTGAGGCGTGATCCACGCTCCTGTGGTTCACACTTAATTAAACCTCCATAGGAACTCGGCTGATAGCACGTGGCGGACAATGCTGCAAGTCTTTAGCGGCGATTGTTATGTAAAGCACACCCTATATATGCACCGCTCGTCTCCTCTCGACTCGATACGAGACGAGAAGTACGTACGAACCGTAACCGTCTCTATCTACCCACATCCACAGCCAGAGTAACTTTTTGAAAGCGTTAGACGCGATTCACGAGCGACCAATTGCTCGGATTTCTCACCTGTGAAATACCGATTTTATATCGAAAGAGCCGAGCCCCCGAGTAGCTGCAACGGTCGAGAGAAACGGGACACGCGTCACTGTTGCAGAAATACCGACAACTTGGTTTTAAGATAATCGAGTCAACGATAATCGAGATAATCGTACAACGTTGAATTTAATAATTGCTCGTTTCTTGAGAATTCCATTTCTTCCGAATTTTGTCGAAGGATCGTTGGAAAATGTGCGGTGAAAAGTCGAATACGATCCAATAGTCGCGTTCGAATGGACTCTGAAGCCATCCTAATTAGAACTACTCTAGCACCTTCGATTTCTACGGAAATATTTTCCGACGCGATCACGGACAAATGTCGTTTTCAATAAAAACTAAACATCTAGAGTATCGCGATATTTTCGAATTACGATATTTTCGACCTTACGAGTATCGATGTAAAAGCGAACATCAGCCCGGTCCTTAAGTTCGACCCTTCAAACGGAGCGCGCGTTTGGTGGTTCATCAAGCTCAAGGATAATCAAAATTTCCCAGCAGCCTGCACAATGGGAGAACTACTTGGAGAAAGTAGCTTTACTTTCGCGAAACGAGGACGCGATACCTGAAAGAGTCTCGTTTGGTCGCAACCCTTCGCCACCCCCGTCACCCCCGTCGCGGCGG